GTGGGGGGAAAGAAAAGAGACTCGACACGAAAACTTTAGTAACCAGAAATTTTGGCATTTATTATTGTCAGGGGTTTCTTCCTCGGAAACCAAAAACACAAACCACCGTATCCCCAGCCCCACGGAGAAGCTTCAAGAACATCCCTGATTGACAGAGGAAAAACCCGTTTGGTGCATCGTCATAATGAAAGAGAAGAAAACCTGGAGGCCGGGGGTGTGTGGGGGGGGGGAGAGAAACCCACCCCCCCTTCTTTAACGGAGAATCCGGGGAAGGAAGATCCAAGCCCAGAAGCCCCTTCTCCAAGAATGGTGGGGGGGGGGGAGAATCACCCCAATGTGGAACAGGGAGTGAGTGAGCCACACGCCTTTCCTTGGAGGGAGGGGGACAGGTTGGCTCTGTGCGCATGGAAGGTTTGGCACGAGGGGGCAGGGGGCCCGTGGAAGCCATCCTGTAGAAGAGGCCTCTGCAACTTTGGCCACTTGTGGACTTCAACTCCCAGAGTTCCTCAGCCAGCCAAGCCTTAAAAGTGGCCGAGGTTAGAGACCCTTGCCCCAAGAAGGGTCCTGAAGTCACAAACTGCTCCAATGTTAAGGTGGACACCCCCCACGCCCCCTTTGGAGCAAGCTTCTCCTGGCAAGTGCACAAATACATGACATCTGGTTAGCCCCCCCCCATCCCCCCATCCCCAAAGCCCCCCTTGAAAACAAACCGATATACAGAATATAAAGCACAGTATGTACAACCCGGTAAACATTTCCATTCTGAACAGTTGGCTTTTATAATATCAAAGACTCGGGCGACCTTGCAAAAAGTGGACATAAGGTTTTGGGGTGCCAAAAAAAACTATTGCTCTTGAAACGTCCTTCTCTGCCCCCTTTTCATGCCTTTGCACGCAACCTCAAAAAAAACGTGGACGCTACACACTGTGTCGTGCTAGAAAATCCCGGCCGCCCCACTCGGTTTTAAAATGATAAAAACACCCGTTTTTGGTCTTTTAGCAGCTCTGCAATAAGTTCGACTTATTCCAGCCCAAAGTAGATTCGCAAGCCGCACCCTTCCACTATATGCAACCTCCAGGGATGGCGAGGCTTGAATGATGGGCTTTTGAGTAATTTCCCCCTGGGCCACTGGATCCAGGAGGGAAGGGTGGCGTCTCCGCTTGGCAAATCATTTGTGCAAGAAACAAAAGGTGTGATACTGATTTTAAGGAATAGGGAATGTTCACAGGGAGGACTTGGGAGGCTTAAAATTTCAGAAAGAGGACTCGCGTCCTCATCATGGCTTGAGCTACAATTAAATTATACAATCCTAGGAACGAGATAACGGTTTCTTTGGACGTTTTATTATTCTTTTTTTTTTTTTCCCCTCTCCTTTTTAAACAACATGCATTCAACGAAGTAGGCAAAAGGCTTCTCCCCACGTTTCGTACAAACCCAGTTTGCTTCGTGAATTGGACAGACCGCCATCGCCCCGCTAACAAGCAAAGGGAAATTGTTAGCCCCCGCCCCCCCCTTCCCCACCTCCCACCTGTCTTTAAAAATCCCACAAGAAAACGCGAACGGTTAAAGTCTTTTTAAAAAGTGTCGCTTGGACACGGCCTTAAGAATAAAAAACAAAGTATTTACAGCCTTACGGGAAGGGGAGAGAGAAAGGAAGGAATTGGAAGTAGGCCCTGCAGCCCCCAACGTAAATATTATTTCTTCCCCTCTTCCCAAATCGCTGCGGAGACCCTTGACACACTTCCTGCCTGCCCGCTGTCAGCATCGTCGATGCCAACGCGAAGCCGTGACGGGCATTAACTGACCGCAGTTACCACTCTGTTGACCCTTTAATGACAGAGGTCTCCAAAGTTGGCACCTTTTAAGACTGGTGGACTTCCAACTCCCCGAATTCTCCAGCCAGTGCTGGCTGGAGAATTCGGGGAGTTGGAAACCCACCAGTCTTAAAGTTGCCAACCTTGGAGACCCCCTGCTTCAGTTTCTCGCTTGGGACAGCCTCCCCAGTGTCCAAGCAGTGAAAACAACAACAAAATCTGAATTACAGCCTGCATATAATAATATTGGTGATCATTACTTTTATCGTTACGATCCCGTATCGTCCTAACTTCATTCTTAGGCGATTTTTTTTCCCCACATCTCGCTTTGAGACCTACAAACAAAACCCCACAATTCTTGTGACGAGAGCCCAGGGGTTCAAAACGAGATAAGGTGGAGGCTGGACACGCTATTCTCCACCCCATGTGGGTAAAAAGAACGGGGTGGGGATTGGATTGTGCAGCCGCTGTCTTAACTTTTTTTGTGGGTAGGGACGCGGGGGCATTACCTGGTTCCAGCTATTTGAGCTGCCCTTGCGTCCTCTGTGCAAAGGGGCAGCCCTTTCCTTGCCTAGGTACCCCCCTGCCCACCCAGCAAGGGCCATGCCCACCTCCTCCGACCCTTTATTCACATGCTATCCGTTTAAAAGCTTACACACACCAAACCAGGCTTGTGCGTTCAGAAGTAAAACAGTTAACAGGCACGATTGAGCGACAAGGAAACCATGGGGGGGTCTGCAAAGGATCGGGTATTCGCGGCGACGGAAGAGCAGCTAAAACAACCGCGAAATCCGACCGATGCTCCAGGGAAAAAGCCGAGGAGGCGTCTGGCTGGGAGAGGCGTCTTTCGCCCAAGCCGCCAGCTAAAGCGGCCCCCCATCGACGCTCCGGCTCGGTGAAAACGCAAAAAGCGGGCAGGCTTTTAGGAAAGTACCGAGGACAGCATCGAGCCTTGCAAAATAAAAAATAAAAAATGAAATGGAAATGGAGGGGAGGAAAAAAAATAGTAATAGCAGCGGGGAGGTTTGGCTTTGAGGGAAAGAAAGAAAAAGGATGCAACTTTGGCTAAGGAAAAAAAAAACAGCAAAGGGTTTTAAAAAGCACTTCGGAAGAAGAATCAACGCGTCGTTCCCCCCAACACACCTAAAACATTTCAGGAACTCACTGGGGTTGCGGTGTGTGGAAGTGCCCTTAAGCAGGCTATCACTGAAGGGTGTGTGTGTGTCTGTCTGTGTGTCTCTGTGTCTGTGTGTGTGTCTGTCTCCCTCCCACAGCGGCTGTTTGCACAGGACACAAACCAGACCCCCTCCTCCCCTCGGGCTCAGGGCTGGAGAAGGGCTGCCAGCTGGCCTGGGGTGTGGATGGGGGGGGGGTCGCCCCAACTGACCCTCATCCTGCCACCATTCACACCGAAAGCCAACCGCCCGTTACACACAGTGCTGCGTGGGACAGTGAGAGAAGGGGGGGGGGTAAAGGGGAGGGGGAACGCTGCTCCCCTTTCCAGTTGTGTCTTTTGCGTGACGCAACGACCTCTCCGAAATGGCACCGACAAACCCGCTTCCTCCCCAGGGAATACTCAGCTTCAGTGGAACGGAAAACAGAGACGGAGGGCATCTCGGGAGGGGGGGGCAGGCAGCTGCCAGACCCCCAATTTGGGGGCTGCCCGGCCTGCGCACGCGCACACACACACACACACTCCCCATGGTTTCCCCTCCTCACCTTGTGAAGTCCCCCAGCCCAGCCCAGCCCAGGGAAAACCACCGGCACCCGGAGAAGCAGCAGGAAGGGAAAACAACAACAAACAACAAACAACAACAACAACAGAGCCCTCCAGCCATGCTGAGCTTTCGGAAAGCAACAACCGAACAAGCCCCCCCCCCACCCCGGGCCGGGTCAGGGGTGCCAAACTGCTGATGGGCTCTGGAGAGAGGAACCCAAAGGCAGCAGAGGCCCAAACGGAAATAAGGCAAGCAAAGCCACTTTGCTTTTTTTTTGTTTTTGTTTTTTTGTGTGTTCGTTTCGAGTTTTTCTGTTTGTTTCGTTTTGCATAGTAGTTTAAAAAAACTGCAGCCTCCTCACCCTGTGGCCCTTCTTGGCCTTTGGCCCTGCCTCCGGCCTCGCCCTCCCTCCCTCCCCGGGGTCCCTGGGTTGCCCCACCCCGGGGCAGCAAAAGAGAGACGTCTCTTGGGTGTGTGTGCGCGCGTGTGTGTGTGTTTGTCCCAGGATCTTGCCTTCTGTCCGAAGAAGATGGGAGCTTGGTTGGGCCCACAGCCTGGGGTGAAGGCACAGGTAAGAACTGCAGTTCGTGTTCGTTTGTTTTGGGGTTGTTGGTTTTTTTTTGTCACATTTGTCATCGTCCGAGGGAACAGTACGAAAGTTTTCACAGCACCAATCCTGAGATGACGCGGGGGGGCCGAGGCCCTCCGGGAATGCCGGCGGAGGACGCTTGGAAGGTCCTGGATTCCGCCCCCGTGCTGCAAAGGTTTCAACTTTTGTCCAGGTGTGTTTTGTTTTTTTTGTTTTTGTTTGTTTGTTTTCTCCCAAAGTTTTCTGGTTCTCCCCGTCCCGCCAAACCGAGCCCCGCAAGCCCTGCGCCCCAACGCTCTGGGCGTTCATCAGCTGACCATGGGCTCCACGTCTGCTTCTCTGTCGAAGTCGTCTGGAATCTCGTCCGTGTTCCCCGAGTCGCTGCTGGCGAGGGAGCTGGGCGAGGGGGAATTTCTGGGGGGAAGACAGAAAAGGCAGGATCAGATCTGGACCTTGACTCGCGTCCCCCGACACACACACACACACAAAAGAAAGCGTGCAAGGACACCTGAGAGCAGCCTCTTCCTGCTGCCTCCCACACCCACTCTGTGTGTGTGTGTTTGGTGAAAGCAGGGCGGTGGCCCCCGCTTCCTCCCTCCTCACCTTTCCGCAGAGCCTTTGATCAACCGCCGGCAGGTCTCCATCTGGACGTCCAGGCCCCGTTTCATGCTGCACATTTCCATGTACTCGTGGAGGTGGCGGTTCATGTCGCTCTTGGCGGTGGCCAGTTCCAGCTGTGGAAGGAGGGGGAGGGGGAGAAGGAAGGGGGTTTAACTGGGACCCCCCTGCCCCTCCCCCCGAACAGTCCTTGGGCAACCCCGGCAACCCCAGTGGACTTGGGCCATGGACAAAGAGCGGCCCTTCGGAAAACAATTAACTGGCTCCGTCTCCTTGTAGAGAGGTCTCCAAACTTGGCCACTTTAAGACTTGTGGACTTCAACTCCCAGAATTCTCCAGCCAGCAGAGCTTTCGGACAGGGAGGAGGTTGGGGAGGGACATGAGCCAGTCCCGGAGTCTGGGGAAGGCTCGGACGAGGGCTCTGCATCGGAGGCAGAGATGGGGCCAGGGCTGTCTGACACTTATCAGCTGCCTTCAGAGTCGGACATCAGTGGGGAAGAAGAACAGCTGGAGCCTGTTCCCAGTGTGCGCATGCGCAGAACTGCCAGACGAAGGGAACAGTTAAGGAACAAGGGTCGACTCGGGAGTAAAGGCTCAGGTGGATGGTGAATGGAATGAATAAAGAGGAGCAAAAAGGGAGGGGTGTGTTTGCAGGAGACAATTCTGGGAGTTGAAGTCCACAAGTCTTAAAGTGGCCAAGTTTGGGGAGCCCTGTCCTTGTATGTCTCTGAGGCGTGTGACACCAAGTAGCATTTTGGAGGGACGCCCATGGTTTCATTCCCACCCTGCAGCAGAGAAGGCCGGGTGGGTGGATAATTGCTGACTTCCTTCCTTACTTCCTTCCTTCCTTCCTTCCTTCATTCTTTCCTTCTTTCTTCCCTTCTTTTCTTT